CCGCAGGCTCAGGCAATCCACTCACCTCAGCCTCCCAAAGGCGTGGGATTACAGGCTGAGCCACCGAGTGGCCCATCCACCTGGGGCTTGGAGTGCCCTGCCTGCTTTCCCTCAGCAAGCTCCAGACCTATTCTTTGCATTAGATTATCTAAAGCAGGTTTGAGATTTGCGTTCCTATACACACATCTAATAAAAAGTTAAAATTTATAAAGCAGAAGAGGTACATAAAATTCCACATAACAAGTGTCCCCTGTGCATGGTCCACAGTGCCTGGTTCCTCTGAGCACACACAAGGGTCACAGTTGGTATCTGTCTTCCTGGATGAGGGACACTCTCCTTCCCAGGTAAAAACTTGACCACCTTCTCTAATTAATTATACAGTTTAGCAGTGTTTTTGATGGATAATTCCATGTATATACATCACATGTGAATCACAAATGTTGTGGGAAGCAGTGGTGGTGCTTGGGAGGGCACTGTTATCCTACTCTTAAGACTACACATCACTGGTGTCCAGGAGGGAAAGGTCAGTGCTTTTGGCCTCTGCTCCACACACAGGGAGCCAGCAAGTGCACTGACCCTGGTACAGCCTGGCAGGCGTTTAGCTCCCTGTGTTCTGTTCCCTTTAACCCATTCTTCAGAAGGACGTCCCTTCATTTTACTCTTATTGTTCTTACTTATTGGTAGCTTATAGTCTTGTGTAGAAAAAGAAAATAGGCTATAAAAATGCCACTCTATGTTTTTCTGTTATTATGGTATTTGCAGTGGCTCAGGGAAAGAAGTCAAAATATTACTATCTAAAGGCAGATTTTTTAGTTAGCTCAAATTCATATTATCCCTTATCAAAAGATGTAACAATATGAACAAAAAACAAAACAATGTCAAATGAAAGAAACAGGACTAATTTATCAGGTACCAACCTCAAATGTTATTTTTACTAAACATTTTTTGCAAACATTTCAGAAGGGTTTGTAAAAACAGTCATCTCCTTGCCCAGAGGCACTAGGGCTTTACAGCACAGTCCCCTCCTAAGCTGAGGGAATGCATTTTGGCTGATGGCTCTTAAGCTTATGCTCCCCCAAAACCTGTGTCACAGGACAGAGAGAGAGAATTGGTAGAATGATGAGCCCTGTTCATCCCTCACCCTTCCCTTCTGCCGGCATTGGCATTTCCTGAACCCCAGGCACCAAGCTCTGTGCTGATGTGGGAGCCCTGGTGCCAAGCAAGCGGTCCTGCTCCGACCTGCAGAGGCCCCTGGAGAGGAATGCGTCTGCACCCTCAGGGAAACCAGCAGGCGAGCAGAAGGTGTCAACGTGCACATGCTTCTGGAGACTTCACCCTGGAGAGCACATCCCCCAGCACCAGGTCTCCTCTTGCCTCTGAATGACTTTCCTTTGCTCTAGCTCCCCAGAAGCATGTTGATCCTTTGATCAGATTGTACTCCTGGAGTTCTCTTGGCTCCATCAGGAGGAAGTTTATTTCCATAGATGGGCAGCTGCAGGGTCTGCTATTCTAGTCTTCAGCGAGGAAGCGAGGCCCTTTCACAGGACGGGGCTGGCGTTCTCTTTTAGGCATGCTCATTGGTGGACTGTGATCTCAGTTTTATACTTTTTCATTATGGGAAAACTTTTTCGTAATTATCTTTGCCTGCAAAAAGATATTGGCTGACTCATTTTTATTATTAATGAAACCATATTTTTTTAAGCAGTTTATATCTGTTAATTCCACTAACCTCATTGGACTGCTGCTGATTGGACGTTATCTAGGGCCTTTTGAGTGCTGTGAACCATTTAGAAAGATTTCTAATATTTGAATTTTTTGCAGAGTATGCTGGTACTCAATCATGTAATACTAAAATAGTAATCTTTTTTATTTTTCTTAACAGATGCAGCAGCTTTTTTATGAGAATTACGAACAGAACAAAAAAGGGTACATTAGAGATCTCCATAACAGTAAAATTCACCGAGCTATCACATTACACCCCAACAAAAACCCACCCTACCAGTACAGACTCCACAGCTACTTGCTCAGTCGCAAAATAGCTGAACTTCGTCATCGCACAATACAGCTCCACCGAGAAATCGTCCTGATGAGCAAATACAGCAACACTGAGATTCATAAAGAAGACCTCCAGCTGGGAATCCCTCCTTCCTTTATGAGGTTCCAGGCCCGCCAACGAGAGGAGATTCTGGAATGGGAGTTTCTGACTGGGAAATACTTGTATTCAGCTGCCGACGGCCAGCCCCCTCGAAGAGGAATGGACTCCGCACAGAGGGAAGCCTTGGACGACATCGTCATGCAGGTCATGGAGATGATCAATGCAAATGCCAAGACCAGAGGGCGCATCATCGACTTCAAGGAGATCCAGTATGGCTACCGTAGGGTGAATCCCATGTATGGGGCTGAGTACATTCTGGACCTGCTGCTTCTGTACAAAAAGCACAAAGGGAAGAAAATGACGGTCCCCGTGAGGAGGCATGCATATCTACAGCAGACTTTCAGCAAGATCCAGTTTGTGGAGCATGAGGAGCTGGATGCAAAGGAATTGGCCAACAAAATCAATCAAGAATCTGGATCTTTGTCATTTCTCTCAAATTCCCTGAAGAAGCTTGTTCCCTTCCAGCTCCCCGGGTCGAAGAACGAGCACAAAGAACCCAAAGATAAAAAGATAAATATATTGATTCCTTTATCTGGACGTTTTGACATGTTTGTGAGATTTATGGGGAACTTTGAGAAGACATGTCTTATCCCCAATCAGAACGTCAAGCTCGTCGTCCTGCTTTTCAATTCTGACTCCAATCCCGACAAGGCCAAACAAGTTGAACTGATGAGAGATTATCGCATTAAGTATCCTAAAGCTGACATGCAGATTTTGCCTGTATCTGGAGAGTTTTCAAGAGCACTAGCCCTGGAAGTAGGATCTTCCCAGTTTAATAATGAATCTTTACTCTTCTTCTGTGATGTCGATCTTGTGTTTACTACAGAATTTCTTCAGCGATGTCGAGCAAATACACTTCTGGGCCAACAAATATATTTTCCAATCATCTTTAGCCAGTATGACCCAAAGATTGTTTATAGTGGAAAAGTTCCCAGTGATAACCATTTTGCCTTTACTCAGAAAACTGGCTTCTGGAGAAACTATGGGTTTGGCATCACTTGTATTTATAAGGGAGATCTTGTCCGAGTGGGTGGCTTTGATGTTTCCATCCAGGGCTGGGGGCTGGAGGACGTGGACCTTTTCAACAAGGTTGTCCAGGCAGGTTTGAAGACATTTAGGAGCCAGGAAGTAGGAGTGGTGCATGTCCACCATCCTGTCTTCTGTGATCCCAATCTGGATCCCAAACAGTACAAAATGTGCTTGGGGTCCAAAGCATCGACCTATGGGTCTACACAGCAGCTGGCTGAGATGTGGCTAGAAAAAAATGACCCAAGTTACAGTAAAAGCAGCAATAATAATGGCTCAGTGAGGACAGCCTGATGTCCAGCTTTGCTGGAAAAAGACTTTTTTAATTATCTAATTTATTTTTCAAAAATTTTTTGTATGATCAGTTTTTGAAGTCCGTACAAGGATATATTTTACAAGTGGTTTTCTTACATAGGACTCCTTTAAGATTGAGAGCTTTTTGAACAAGAATGTGATCATTGTTTGCCTTGAACACATCTTCTTGCCGAACGTTATGTAGCAGGCCTGGTTAATTTTGACTTGAAATGTACCTATGAACAAAACTTTTTTTTTTTTTTACATTTTCTTTTCAGACCCCTTTGCTACAGTCCTATGGCAGAAAACATGAACGGTCCTGCAAAGTATTATTGTAACAAAACACTGTAACTCTGGTAAATGTTCTGTTGTGACTGTTAACACTGCACAGGTTCTACCTTTTGTCTTTTTTACAATCTTTTAAAAAGCCATTTCATGTTCCAGTATTAAGATAAGGAAATGTGATAATAGCTGTGTCATTCATCTTCAGGAGAGCTTTCCAGAAGTGATTATTTTCCCCAGCTTTGTTCTGCTTATCATGGTCATGTGGGTTTTTAAAAGCAGGAGAATGAGGAAAGCACAATAAGACGTGTGGCTCTTCTTGTAATTCATTTAGCCTAAATGGACCTGGAATTAAGTTTCAAGAAGGATTTGGCATTTTTTCTTCCTGACCCTTTTCTTTAAAGGGTAAAATATTAATGTTTAGAGTGACAGCGAAAAACTATTGTAATAAACCTAATGTACGCAAGCTAAAAACAACACCCTAATGAAAACATTGGGGAAAAATGTACTTGGTTTTGTTCATTTCATCCTGTCTGTGTTACATTGGTGGAGATGGTCTTCATTCCTAAATGATTGTTTTGTTGTTTTATCCTTTGTATCTGAAATACCTTTAATTTATTTAATATCCATTGTTCAGAACTCTGCCATTTCTTGAGTACCTGTTAGTTTTTAGTATTTATGTGTATCAGGAGTGTGTTTAGTATTTTTATTTGCAGTAAACCGATCTCCAAAGATTTCCTTTCCTTTTGAAAACGGTTTTTCCCCTCAATTTTTACATTCCTTACTATTTTGCTAAATATTAAGTGTTCTTTGACAATTTTGGTGCTCACATGTTTTGGGGACAAAAATGAAATGAATAAATCTATCATTATACCAGAAAGTTTGTTTTAAACTCACAGATCAAATGTGCCTTAATAAATTTTTTTTAATTTAGATTTCAGACAGTGATAGACTTGCCATTTTAATATATGTCATTGGAGATCTGCTTATTTGTAAATAGCCTATTGCTCATTTGGAAAAATAAACCAGTGAACAATATTTTTCTATTGTACTTTTCAGAACCATTTTGTCTCATTATTCCTGTTTTAGCTGAATAATTGTATTACATTTGGAGAGTAAAAAACTTAAACACAGATTCATGAAGTTTTTCAAGTTATTTGAGGGAATATTTCTGTGGACTGCTGTTTGGGAGTGAAATGAAACTAACTTTTAAGGACCGCCTTCTCTGTTTCATTCCTAGAATGAGCTTGCCTTCTGTTTATTCCTCATCAGCTTGTTGACTGTCTATTCTCTAAAACAAAGGTCTTCAAACCAGGCTCAGACTCCTTGATAGAAATGCACCTTCCTGGGCCCTGCAGAATCTGCATTTTAACAAGTACCCCATGTAGCGTCGTGTGCACAAACATTCACAGAGTATCAGGATCACTTTAACTAGATATACAGTTGCTGTATAGCTCAAGAATCAAAAAGTGAAATCATCAATGCCAAGGTTGCAAGCAAGCTCTTGCAGACAAGAAATGCACTCCCCAGATGGGTATTTGCAGTGTAATGACAGCTAAGGCTCAGCGTAATGACATTGTGCTCACACAAAAAATTGCTATAATTCAGCCTAATTGCCATTTACTCTGTGGGAATGTTTAGTTTTTCCTTTGGGAAAAAAAAAAAAAAAGCAGTCCGGGCACAGTGGCTCAAGCCTGTAATCCCAGCACTTTGGGAGGCCGAGGTGCGGGGATTACCTGAGCCCACAGGTTTGAGAACAGCCTGGGTGACTTGGCGAGACCTCATCTCTACAATAAATAAAAAAATCAGCCGGGCGTGGGAGTGCGCACCTATAGTTCTGGCTACTTGGAAGGCTGAGGCGGAAGGATCGCCAGAGCCCAGCAGGTCGACACTGGTATGGCCGTGAGCATGCCACTGCACTCCAGCCTAGGCAACAGAGTGAGACTCCAACTCAAAAAAAAAAAGACATTTCTATTCTTCAGTAAGGAAGAGCGTAATGTGCATCTTGATGACAACATAATTTACATTCTGCCCTGATTACCATAATGGTGAGCTGTGGGAATGGGGACAGGATGCAAGCAATAGCTCTACCACACCTCAATGTTTATCCAGCATCTTGGTGACCCTTGGTTAAACTCGCCTGTCCTTCCCTGCGTCCACTCTGGCTCACGTCTGTCCTCCTCGATAACGGTGTTGATGTTCTGGAAGTGCTGCCGCCCCTCGAGGCTCAGTCTCCAGAAGTGCCACTGGACCCTTTGGCTCTCTGCCCTGACAGTGCTGTGCCTGGACGCTGCTTGCTGGCCTCTGGGTTCTGCTTCCCGATCCCTCCCAGGTCACTCTGGTGCTTTGTTCTTCCAGAGGGTGGACTCCGTACTCCCACTATCACGGGGGCTTTCCTCAACACAACCATTGCCCCCAATCCACCTCCACTCCACTGGGCTCCTCCTCCAACCACGCTGGTCTCAACTACGGGGCATCAGTCTCTGCTGCCTGGGTGCATGCTTCCCTTCTGGCCAAGCTGACTGTCCTCCAGGGCACAGCTGAGACACCTGTTGTCCACTCTGGTGCCATCCTGGGCCCTTTCTGTGTAGACATGACACAGTTTGACTGCATTCCATGACCATGTGGTAGTGTCTCCCTCACTACAGTCCCACGAGGGCAGGCCTGGGTCTCTGGTTCCTGGTTGCCCCTGGCATGTTGAGAGTCAACGTCCGCCCTACTCCCTCCCAGTGCCATTCCCAAAGGAATGCCCTCCTCGGCCTCCCTATGGGGTGCCTGTGCTGTTAAATGGGTGGAGTCACAGCTGGAACTGTGAGCCTGGAAGTAAGCCATTCTTAAACTCGGGAAGCCTCGTGTTATATCTCATTTGTTTCATCTGTTACTTCTGACTTCCTATTAGTGTGCATTACTTTACTTTTAATACAGAGAAGAATCAAGAGTAAAATGGAATGGGCCATAACGCGACACATCAGATCACCTGACGACAATATTTTAAAATCAGGAATAATTGAATATGGTTGAAGAGGAGGGAGGAAATCACAATGCACAAAGGCCTGAAAGCAGAAGCCTCCTTCCCTCCCCTCCAAGCATCCAGTCTCAGGCCCTTTCCACAAGGAATCACCAGGTTTGCGTGTCTGGGCCTGGAACGTGAAGTGTGTGTGTGCGTGTGTGTGAATTGTGTCTGCACTCGCACAGATAGAATTCTGAAGATCTATGTACACAAACGAGGGAACCACATGTTCATATGGGCTTGGGTTGGCGGACTGTAGGCCTCTGCTGAGGAGCTGCAGGGCAGAAGGGAGATGGGGCTCTCCCAGGACCTGGCGGAGGGATATGCCGAGGGGGCTTCCTGAGTCTTGCTGTCGGACATCCAGGCGCCCTTCTGGAATGGGACTGTTGTCTTGTGGGGCCAACAGTGCTGGCAGACAGGCGATCCGGTACCTTGCTTCCAGAAGGTGGGTCATCTTTCCAACACTGTTTTTCTGGGCCCGGATGAGACCAGAGCATGGATGTGGGCCAGAGCATCCCAGGACCCTCATGTTTGGAGACGATGGCCATATGTCACATAGCACCAGTCACAAGACATTCCCTCGCCGCTACAAAAGCAGGCCTGGGGGTGAGGGTGGTGGGACCCCCTCCACTCAGGGTTGAGAGCAGGAGGAGATGGTACCGGTGAACCTGCAGCTTGGCCCCTTCACGAGTGCAGAAACCAGAAGGAAGTTGACACTTGGAAGCCTGGTCTTTCCCCAGTCCCTAAGTGCCCCTTCATGGCCCGCCAACCAAGTTCTTGAGCCCTGTAGGCAAAGTCTGAGCCTCCTTCCTGCCCCGGTCTCTGACCACACTCTGTCTACAAAGGTCCCTAAGCCTAGGCCCTGAAAGCCTGGAAGTGGACGTGGAGTTTCTTCCTCCCTTACAGGGGCACAGTTCATGTGTGCCTCTGCTCCAGCAGGCGGGGAGCACTCACTTGCCTCTTATAGACTTGACCCAAGTGAAAGGGTCGTTGTACGTGCCTCCTTTCATGCCCTGGAAGGACCACCTGGAGGTCTGCATGCGCTGCAGCCACCCGCATCATTAGTGGGTCCTGGCGTTGAACGCACATACTGGTAAGTTGCAGTCACCACGCTGTCTCATAAGGACAACACTTAAGGGACTCACTGGCTTTCAGAGGCGTCCTCCCAGCTGCGAGGGCCTTGCCGTTTAGACCCACCCTCCAGAATGGTGATGCCCCTGCAGGACACCTGCCCACCGGACAGAGGGGTCCTGCTCAGGCCCCAGAAAGCTCAGGCCTCCTCTTGTGCTCTCCTGTTGGAGGGAGCCTGGGGCCAGCCCTTCCTGCACCACAGGGACACACGCCCTGGGGAATTAGGCTGCATTACCGCGGTATAAATTGCTGTAATCTCTGCTGCAAAGGAGCTTATGTGCTTCACTGGCTCGGGAGCCAGCTGGGGGGTCTGTCGGCTAAAGTGGGTTCACAGGGCTGCTGCCTGTTGTGGTGGGTCCCACGGCGCTTTCCGAGTTCTGGAAAGATGTCCCCTTCCGTTCCAGTTGAAAATGCGCACACCAAATCAAATCGCTTGGTCTAACTTGTAAATGCAATGAAAGTGTAAAGGCTACAAGACGACAGATTCAATGACTGCGACTCATTTTGAGTGACTTCCAGTGGAAAGATTATGCTTCAGACCTGGTTTGTTATTTTTTTGCAGAGGCTTGGAGGTGCGGGGCATGGGTGTGTATCTTCAACCGGAAACCACAGCACCAACCAGATTAGGGGCTACCTTGTCATCAGTGCAGTCAAACCACTTAAATGTCTGTCATCAGACGTGTTTAAATGTGTTCAATTTATTAAATGTATTTCACTTATGAGGGTCTTCATTTTTTGCTAATACAGACAAAAATGAAATCTTGTCCTTTAAAGATCATTCTAGTTGCACTTCCTTAGGCAGTTATACCTGGCTGCTTTTTAATGAAAAAAAATGTAATAAGATATTGTTCAAATCACTTAATGGCAAAAATCAGGTGGGCTCTGGAGTCTACTTAAACGAAACTGGCATATCTGTCGTGAATTTCTCTCTGGTAAGCAGTCTGTCACAATCAAGGCGGCACACTCCTGGGCCT